GCACCTCGGAATGATTGTGTTAAGCTAGCACTAAGTCCTTCCCCCATCCACCTTTATTCTTTTCTTTACAATAAGGCTTTCAAATAAGTCATGGTTGTACGGCAGTGAAGCATCGGTGTTGAACACTGATATCATGCTGTCGATGACGATGATGATGATGATGATGTACGATCATAGTTAATTAGTTCACTATTATTATTATTATCGAAAAGACAAGACTGAAATTAGATGGGAGAGGTACGTAGTAGTGGCGTACCACAGTCATTCCGGGGTCCCTTCACCTCTAGACACCTATTCAGCTGCCACACTTTCATTCGCCGATTATCTGAGGAGGTAGAGCTGAATTGTTGCATAGTATATGCGGTCGCTGATGTAATTGGTGCGTGAATACAGAGGTGTCGGTGGACATTTCTCTGGGAAGATGGGAAGGGAAATCTGTGCATTGAAGGAAACAGTTTGGATGCATGCACGCTATTGGGCGCGTGACTGAACCGTGTTTATCACTGTCTGTAACGATTGCTCTATCCCGTCTCAATCCAAAGAGACGACAATGAGCAGCAAAGCCGAGTTTGCTGGCAGTGACTTTCATACTTAGCTGCCAAGTCATTTCTCGACGTCGCCTGGCTTGTTTCCAGCCTTCACGTTGTGAAAACAGGAACGAAGATGGGAAACATCAAAACCGAGAGATTCAGCTGGGTTCCAAGCGAGTCTCTCGCAAATCCAAATTAGTTTGCAAATGAGTGTATTTCGCTAGAAACGAAATCCGTTGACAGGCATCTGGAGTACTTGATAAAAAGATAAAATTATCGTTCAGTTGTAACTTCCTTTTGGTGCCTAGCCGCCACGTCACCCGAAGGAAGCACTAGGGCTAGATACTGCCAGGTTGCCCAGGCCTAGACAGGGGAAGCCGAGATGTAGAGGTCGGATTCGAACCACTAAGCCTACCGCCAGTAAACTCCCACTCCAAACACTGAACCATCGTGACCAGGTCAACTCAACCTATGGAGTGTGATTAATTCACCTAATGTGGGCGAGTTATTTTTCCGAAAACCACTTGACATTATTAATTCAGTGTTCCTAAGCGACTCGGGCGGTGATCCAAAGACGACAATGGTCAATCATTGAAGGTCTTTGACGTTCTGCGCGCTCAGCGACCGGGTTTCTGATCCGGCTAACAATACAGATAGACATAGGTATAGATAGATTATTTAGTGTTGCCTGCTCCGTATGCCAAAAAAATTGTCCAGCTGTAGCACCCTTTCAGTGCCTAACTGCCATGCCACCCGTAGGAAGCACGAGGGCTGGGATACTGCCAGGTTGCCCAAGCCTAGACAGGGGAAGTAGAGAGATAGAGGTCGGGTTCGAACCACGATCTTGCGGTCATTAAATTCGCGCTCTAAGCACTGAGCCATCTCCGTATGCCAGCCGACCGTCTTCCTCGTAAGTTTCTTTTCGCGTAACCACATGAGCCGGAGGTGCTCAAACAATGATTTGGCAGCGAATTTTGAAAGCCGTTACCAGCCACCTTAGCTGCGCTGGTTATTGCCGTCTTCCTGAATGGGGACCCCTAGACGGGCCACGTCAGTGGTTGGAGACATTGTCAGACATGGCCCAGTCGTGTTGGTGCATCCATGCTATTGCCTTCAATGCATAGCTCCCTTCCCAATCCCCCCAATTAACAGCCCATTACCAGTGCTGTACTTACGCACCAACTAATCAGCTCCCACCCACAGTGTGCAACCACCTCCCCGATCTCCCCAAATCATCGGTGAAAGTATGGCAGCTACAACCACTGTAAGACAAGTACGCGGTTCTTACAGCTAATGTCAGGGATCTGGATGGATGGGTCTTTGCTTTCTAATCGCTGTGAGAGGCTACATAGGAGAAACTTGCGACGAGTTATTGGGGCTTGGTGAACGAAGAGCTGCAAGGAAGTTAAATCCCCTGGACGATGAGGTGGAGGAGGGTTTTGTTAATTGAGGCGTTTTACCGTCAGCCTTTGTTTCAAAAGCCGGAACTAGAGGGAAGTTGGAGATAGGTAGTTTTTTGTTTTGAGACTTTGTCATCGTCATTTGGCTGCACACACCATCATCCGGTTGAGTTTCCTTACCCGAAGCGAACGGCGCAGCTATCCGAGCCACTTAGCTTCGTGAGGCTGGCCGTGTCGAGGTCTCAACCGTATACATACCCCTAGTACTTCTGTGGACAGTGGCGAATATGGTACCCTACCAGTATCTTTGAACTCAGTTGTCTTTGTCCAAGTTAACGAGTTCTACAGATTTTTTAACTGATCCTACCCAGGGTTGTTAACTTGCTCAGCGTTGGGATACAGTAGATAAGTTTGCAGGCGCTTTTTAATGAAATAAACTTTCATTTTGGATCTCCTAACTTCTGGCATGTCTGGGCATCTGCAGCCGTGGTGTGAAGAATTATGTTGCGATTTTAGACAGCTCGATTGTGATAATCACAAAGAAGCCCCTTTTTGTTTGTGTTCGCAGTAGTAAGGTTTAGTTGTCGGTTTGAACCCAACCTCAGTCTCTCGACTTCCCCTGTCTTGGCTTGGGCAACCTGGCAGTATCCCACCCCTCGTGATTCCTTCAGGTGGTATGGCAGCTAGGTGCCGAAAGGGTGTCACAGATGAACGATTTTATTCATGAACAATGACCTTACTGGGATAACGTCGAGGACCCGGCAGGTATTCCAAAGTCCACCGCTCCAGAGCCTTAAGGCTCCCTGAAAATATTATTCGGAAGGTTTGTGGTTCTCCCTGAAAATCTTATTCGGAAGGTTTGTGGTTCTTCCGGGGAGACCTGTGTTGCACACAATGTTTTAATTGTCACAACTGACCAAACGGCCATAAGTTTTTAATCACGAAACAGTCAACTCCATTTTCTAAATTTTGGCTGCTTCGGTTTCAGATTCAGCCTATGGGTAGAAAATCTCGTCGAGGAAGTAAATCACAAATGCAAGTATTGGATTCAATGATGGTACCAGAACCAGATACTCCATCTTTGCAAGAAACTACGCATGATAGGGACACTTCAGGTCCACGACATACCATCGATGTTTGCGGACCTGAAGTTTCATGCGTCATGGAACCGCAAAGTCCTGTGCAACAGGCATCATGTCTTTCTCCTGCAGCTTCTGGTGACTTTGCATCCCACAACCGGACTGAGGAGACCGTAGAATGCACAGCACCAGCCTTCACTCCGTCTGAACAGTCAAACTCTGCACCGGACCTCATCCCCGATTCACGCTCAGAATACACCAGCCTTCACTCCGTCTGAACAGTCAGACTCTGCACCGAACCTCATCCCCGATTCATGCTCAGAATCTTTCATGGAGGCTCGTCTATCCACCTTGAACCAGCAGCTTTCGCCCACCAATAGCCTTCCTGTTTCCGAAACGAACTCGTTGCATACTGACGTGGTCGATCCACCCGCTGAGCGGGATGCGGTGACCTTGCTACAAAATCAACTGAGTGCCATGTCTGTTCGGCTTTTGACAGCACAAGATCAAATCGACCGACTTCTTGAGGAGAAACGAAGCTGGTTGAATCAACCCCAATCCAATAAACAGATGAACTCGCATCATCCGTCGGGAGAGCTGCGTGGGCGTTTGGCACAAGCACAGGCACTGGCGGAAACATATAAACGAGAGAAGGAAAATATGGTGGTTAAATATGCGCAGGTAGGTGCTTGCATAATACATGTGATACCAGCTTGTTAGGTACTCCCAGAGGCGTGCATTCTTGTTTACCGTCTTCAGCAAGACGACCTACTGCCTCCTCGTCTAACCCTTCTTGTCTACTTAGCTTGCATTTAGCTGGACGAAGGAGGTACTTCTTTTTCTGTCGTCTGGTAACTTTCGGTTTCCGCTTAATCATGCCTGAGTTTACTGTCATTTGTAGCTTGCATTGGGAACTACCCTTATGTACGAGTTGCCAGCCTGCCAGGAAGTTTTCACCGTAGGTGTTTTCACTAGTTCACACTCAGCGCTCTCCTGTTTTCTCAATTTTACGCTTTTGGTAGTGGGGGCGAGATGGCCGAAGCGGTTAGAGTGCGAATTTACTGTCAGGAAGGTCCTTGGTTCGAACCTGACCTCTGTCTCTCGACTTTCTCTGTCTCTCCACTTTCCCTGTCTAGGCTTGGGCAACCTGGCAGTATGTCAGCCCTCGTGCAACTTTCGGTTGGCATGGCAGTTAGGCACCGAAAGGGTGCTACCGCCGAACGATTCGACTGGTAGTGCAAATGTTCATACCACAATTTTTCAATTAAATAACAACCAACCGTCAGAATGCGTATAGTTTTCTTTATTTGAATTGGAGTGACCTTACGTCTGTCCATCTCTTCAAGGTACGCCGGTGGTGACACGTAAAATAATCCAAGTGTCTGTGCCGAACTTTCCGGATGCTTGTCATTTGACGCACGGTCTGTAATAAATCTTATCCACTGCATTCCTCGTACATCTATAGGTTACTAACTTGATTTCAGGGATAATTTACCAGTGATTTCACTGGGCTCTATCAAACCCTCCGCGAACGTATGTGCAAAGGCGATGTAGCATTGTGCCTTACTCCTCATAGCAGCCCGGGTTCCTGGCCAGAAGTTATGCTGATTTCAACGGGCCATCTTGACAAAGACTTGCAAAACAGTTAAACAGAGCTAAACTGTTATGTTCAGATACAGCCTCCAAAGCCATCGAGGTTAGTTACCCCAAGGATATGCTACAGTGGGACAACTGTCTGGTATAACGTGAGATGGCGGAGGCGGTTAGAGCGCGAATTTACTGACCAGAAGGTCTGTGGTTCGAACCCGACCTCTGTCGACTTCCCCTGGCTGGGCTTGGGCAACCTGGCAGTACCTCAGCTCTCGTACTTCCTTCAGGTGGCATGGCAGTTAGGCACCGAAAAGGTGCTACAGCTGTACGATTTATTTATTTAATTGTTTATTTATTACGCAATATACACTCATTTGCAATCTGATTTGGGTTTGAATCAATTCAATCCTGGCCCGGTGTCTCGTTTACAATATTCCTCAACTCCATTTGCTGCACAAAAGCCACCTCATTTTCCAGGTAATATCGCACTCGAGATATTGTTTTGTATTTTCTTGATTGAACACTACTCATACTACAACATACCACAACATAGCACAACATTCTGGAAACTGACGTTTTCTGGCACGTCATTTGCAACCGGCATTCGGCGAATACTTGGTCGTGGTTGGCTGTTGGGTCCAGGCTTTCGGTTAATCAGAGCTCGCCTTCATAACGGACCCGGACTTTTGGCCAGTCTTTTGCGGGATAGGCTTCTTGGCCGTAGCAGCGCTTAACTGCGAGCGATAAAGCGATGTCTGTGTAGAATTCTGCCCAACGCTGCCCGAAGGAAGCACGAGGGCCCGGATACTGTCAGCATATACAAAATCTGTTGTGGGGATTTCAGTGCTGCCTACATTGGAGAAACAAACAGGCAGCTGGAAGTGCGCCGTGCAGCGCACGAAAGGTGTGCACGCTTTCTGCTTCTGAGATTCCTCGCAGTTCCAAAAACAAGAAATACAGCTGTTGCTCTCCACGCACTAATGAAAGCCACAATATTTCATTTGACTAGACTTAATCACAAAAGCTCAACCGGACACTCGAAATGGTCCTGTGCGGAAGCTCACAATATTTCATTTGACTAGACTTAATCAGTTCACAAAAGCTCAACCGGACACTCGGAACGGTCCTGTACGGAAGCCAGTCGACGGTCAGTCCACTGTGTGGTCAGCTTCATATCTTGACCAGTTGAGCAGCCCCTTGGCTGTTGACTGCATACCGGCAGGTCAACCACGGCAATCAAAACCGTGAAAAAGCGCAAAAGACTCGTCTTCTGTTAATATGTTCTGAGCGGAAGAGGTGTGGTCTGCACTGGTTAGTGTCAGCATGTGTATCTTACCTGGTTAATCAGAGCTCGCCTTCATAACGGACCCGGACTTTTGGCCAGTCTTTTGCGGGATAGGCTTCTTGGCCGTAGCAGCGCTTAACTGCGAGCGATAAAGCGACGTCTGTGTAGAATTCTGCCCAACGCTGCCCGAAGGAAGCACGAGGGCCCGGATACTGTCAGCATACACAAAATCTCTTGTGGGGATTTCAGTGCTGCCTACATTGGAGAAACAAACAGGCAGCTGGAAGTGCGTGGTGCAGCGCACGAAAGGTGTGCACGCTTTCTGCTTCTGAGATTCCTCGCAGTTCCAAAAACAAGAAATACAGCTGTTGCTCTCCACGCACTAATGAAAGCCACAATATTTCATTTGACTAGACTTAATCACAAAAGCTCAACCGGACACTCGAAATGGTCCTGTGCGGAAGCTTGCGTTCCAGTCGACGGTCAGTCCATTGTGTGGTCAGCTTCATATCTTGACCAGTTGAGCAGCCCCTTGGCTGTTGACTGCATACCGGCAGGTCAACCACGGCAATCAAAACCGTGAAAAAGCGCAAAAGACTCGTCTTCTGTTAATATGTTCTGAGCGGAAGAGGTGTGGTCTGCACTGATTAGTGTCAGCTTGTTTATCTCACCTTATTGATCCACAGCGCCAACTTCGGCGACTGATGAATCACTTTCAGCCATGTTTCAGTACTGCAAGCGTGGGTATACGCTCCAAACTTCCCATTGTCAGCAGTATTTCCTGAGAAACGGTTCCTCAGATCATATTGTTGAGAGGTGTTTACCCGTGACAGCCTTTCAGGTCCGAAGCTAGGAAACATAGGGTCCCAACACACGGACTTCGTGTTCTGGAGTCGGTACTGTGAGCTCGGGCAGCTCAGTGGTTAAGTTGCGTGCTTACTGGAAGGTTTGAAACTTGCGTTTCTTGCAACTCAAAACAGGCAGCAAACCTACCATACCATGGGATGAGGTGTCTCACATGCGTGGCTCAGAAAACTCAGCGCGAAGATTTGTCGAGCTGAGGTCATCGGTATTTCTACACGACACCATCGGAAAATCCATCGACCACACCTCTCGCCTTGTCTGCCTCATGCCTGTGTCTAAATAGGAAGAGAGGGCTAATTTCTATGGAAACTGAAGTTTTTGGGTGACTTACTGGAAATTCGTTATGATGTTGGATTTGATAGTTCAAAGCTAGAAAGCCCATTATACCTTTTTTATTCTTACTAGGAGCCATCAGTCAGTGGCTCGTTAGTCCCGCAATTTCCCGGGTGTAGGTTGCGCATGTATCCTTGCATCACGGGTGGATGATCAGCTGTCATTCCGGAGAGTTTTTTACGCACACTATCGACAAATTTCCGCGTCCTCGGCTGGTGGTGATTAGGTTAGGGTACGGAGGCTAGCCGTCCCTAATAACTGAACACGGATCATTTTGGACGGATATGTCACGTGCAGGACACAAGCCAAACGAAGGCATGCCCTGATAGGTCAGTATGGCAGCCAATCCGAGTCAAGCACCTTTGACCTCTCACGGAAATTCTGGCACGACCTTGTGGAACACTCAGTGACTACCCTATAAATACAGTTGTAATAATCTTCCTTTGTCTCCATAAAGGGCTGTGCAGAGCTACCGTGCCTTTTGATACACCATAGTGGGTGGAGCAGGAAGTCGGAGCAGGAAGCCAAGGGACCGATACAGAGTTGCACGATCGTCCACCAAGTTACAACACTTAGTTGATTGGGATCGCTCAGACTTGAGCCGATACTAACGCCAGATGCGTGATTCTGTGGCGAGTGAACCCCGCACACGATTGATTGAGAAATGGGTCACAATCATATCTCTCACCACGTTTGTTGTTTTTGTTCTCCAACGTAGAACCGGGTTAAGAGTCACGCAAATTCCTTGATAACGGAGCCATCCTCTTTTGTAATCACTACTATTCTGGTGTACGATTTTCGTTTGTTGAATGTGATAAAATGTGTTCGGGAGAGCAACTTTCTTTCGGAGTCAGTTTTGGGCTTACCTATTTTCCTACATTGTGTTTCGAAAATACGGACACAGGGTATGAGTATAACGAAAAATTGCGCAAGTTTTCTTTGGCGTCGACACCAATCCAACCGCGGTTCAAGGTTGCTAACTCTTTGAAATCGTGGAGCATATCAGTGTGTCGTCGTTTAGCTGTGATGTATAGAAATTCGGCAAGTAACTGGAAAAATACTAGCAAGCTTCTTGACACTCCCAGTTGTGTTTCTTCATTTAACGAGAACAAACGCGTGAACGCCGTGGTTCGTTAACTATCCGGCATCTGGCATAGACTTGTTTCAGGGCAAGATGCTCACTGTCCCTTCACCGTGAGATCTCTCTCGGCTCGGTGCAGTTGTTTTCAGAAAGGTGCAATCCCCAAGAGGTGCCGAACACGGACGGATAGCACAATCGTTGTCGTTTCAGAGCTAGTTCCTCAGTAAGCCCAGTGATCAAGAGGAAACGGCGTTCCTTAGACTCTTGTTCTTCGCAAATTTCATCCATCAAGAACCTCCCAGACAGTTAGTTTATCAATAGGCGTTTTTGGCGGACGGTCAACAAACCATAACTAACTCGTTTATGCGCCGGTTTCCTGCTAGAGCGTTACTTGCCGTCTCGGTACACGTCAGGGCCTATTATTTGCTGATAAGCTGAACGTACCAACTTAAGTTACCCAGTGGATTTATCCCCCTTGTATTGATGGGAATTTACTTTAGAATTGACCTATTCTGAGAACAATAGAAGTGATATTCGGAAGCTGAATCGGTGAGTAGCGAAAGCCCACATCCTCTACGTCTCTGTCCAGTCGAGTTGACTCTGTGCGACTGCCAATTCAGTTCACAGTACAGTGCTACACTGGCGTTATCTCATCCCGGGCAAGCTACTGACTGACCTAACCACAACACTTTGCATGTTTTTTCTCCAGTCGGAACAAAAGCGTATCGAGCTACAAAACCAGTTAGCCGCATTGACCAAATCTACCCAGCAGCTGTCCAAATCCACACCTCGTGGGCCGCAGATCACCACAAATGGGGTGGACCCCAGTGGGAACTCGGACTTGTCCTCAAGTGACTCACAAGAGCTGCAGGCGCAGTTGAATCAGACTACGAAGGTGGGTTCCAATTCCTCCGGGGTGTTTATCACTCTGGAGCGATTTTCAACTATTTTGATTGCCGTCATTCATTTTTATCGATTAATCCATGCATTAGCTCAGGATTACACTAGTCAACTCACTATTCTTACCATATTCTTTGTTTATAACATAGTGCCTTTTCTGCTCACCTTTTGCATGAGTTCCATTGGGGGCTTCTCGAAATAACTGGTGACATCTCTTTTCACAGTTGTTGAACGCAGCTCGCCAAGAAGTTGATGCATTGCGTAAGGGCCAGAAGAACGACGAAGCACGAATCAATACCCTGGAGGCCAAGCTTGGTCAAATGCAAGAAACAGTTCGAACCGAACAGCGCAAAACGGCGACACAAAACGAAACCATTTTGCGTCTAAATCGTTCCTTGGAAGCTGCCTCCAAGCAAGCGAAAGTGAGTTACTTGTTCCTAGCGGAGTTGGAATGATACACTTCTGGCCTGTGACCGTGTGTGTGAGAACTCTTCCTAGAGCGTGTGAACATTATTCATCAGTTGAGATAGAACGGTGCATGTGTGTCTTCACGTGTTCTTCTCAGGTGGCTGTAGTCTGTTTGCCCAGTTTGGCAATCTTCTTGTAAAGGTTCCGTCTTCAATTGTGGGTGGATTACCAATGCATCGCCACAACGCAACACAGACTGTGAACCGACCAATCAGAGAAGTGGTCAAATCTAGTAGAAGGAAGCTGTTCAACTAACCAGTCGAATGCCTAGAATACGGACCAAAACACAATGCACATGGTCAACGGGCCAATCAAGTTACGATAAAGCTGACTCTAATCATTTAATCACACCAAGAGATGTCGAATGCTTTTTTACAAACTACAAACGCAAATATACGTGGGATTGATGCCTCCACGATTAGTGACGACGAGAAGAGTGCCAAGCTTGGTGAGCAGATCGACAGCCACCTAATATATGACCAAGTGGCAATTGATAACCGACGGACATGGCCGAACCTCACTGCGAAGACGATTGAGGCGACGATTTAGAAACGCCCCCACAGTGATGGACGTTGCGCGACAGTTTTCTTGTACAGCTATCCCTTTATAAGCCCCCCTCTCGAAGGAGGGAGGAGCTCTCTCCTCATAAGGAGCGGCATACGCTTGTTCTTTCAAGTTTTTTGCCTAACGATGTAGGCGGAACCACTCTATAAGTCCACATTTAGATGATGATCACCCAAACGTGCGTCGGGGGTCTTCTAGCAAGGTAAACTACGTGAATCATCATCGATATGCACTAATGTTTCTAAGTCACTCCCGGAGTAGCTGTTTCATGGACACTAATCATTTTTACGACCCTTGCTCAACTTCGAATCTCTGTTGCATGCATGTCATGCATTTATAATTAATTAATTAATCAATTAATAGTAATAAATAAGCAATAAATTGGTAATAAATTACATCGTTTGCCTCCATCCCTTATCCTCAGTGTGGTTGTGCGTGAATGAGATGACAGTCCAGAGCGAGCTGACTCAGTGGTTAAAGTGTGAATTTACTGACCGGACGGTCCCTGATTCGAATCCGACATCTGCCTCTCGACATTCCCTCTCTAGGCTTGGGCAACCTGGCAGTATCCCAGCTGGCATGGCATGGTGGTTAGGCACCGGAAGGGTGTTACAACTGAACGATTCATTTATTTTTCGTGTAGGTAACTTTTCCCGGAAGCCAGCCGACGCTGGTGAGCACTCGATGTGCGTACGTTGAAACTAGCTGAAGTGAGCCAACAGGTCGTGTTCTCTCCAGTGACAAACACATGCTTTTAGGGTCCATACACCACAAGGACGGCGCGTTCAATCACTGCTGCGTCGAATGCAGGACACGGACTGTTTGATAGGGGGGCGTAAGGTGAGGGTATCAAGTAGTCAGGTGACTGACTTTTTACGCAAGTGAACAAATATGATTGTCGTTAGGTATGATGCTCCGTTTCTTCGGTTGTCCGAAAACAGGCAACCAGCGCTTTGTAGAGACAAAAAAAATGAAGGAAAGCCACTTTTTAGTTTTTGAGAAATTGTGTTTGCTTATGTGAAAATCACCCCGAAAGAAAATTTGCTTCCCTTGTGTAATTTTGTGTACAAAGGAATGGTAGAATGGATTACCTTTTTTTCGGTCTGAGGTTCATTTTCCATATGTCTGTTAAACTAATTAAGTCTGAACGCTCCTTTTTGTCGGTGAAAAGTCTCGGTCGTTTGTATTGTCAAAATGGGGTTGGTGTAACGCATTTGACTGACTATTTTGGGACCGAATATCGATCTGTGCTTGTTTCTCGATCTAGCTGTATTTCAAAACTGGGGAACCAATGCATCGTTTGTACATGGTTCATAGCTGAGCTGAACTTATTCACTGTTACGTAAGGCCTTCGCTGCGGAGTTATTTGCTAGAAAACGCCAAGTGAACATACTATTGAACAGGGAAGCGAAACTCTCAAATACATCTCGTGCACAAAAACTGAATATCCATCTCCTTGAACGCGTCTTCCTGAACTCTTCTGGATATTCATTGACTTTTGTTCAAATGAAGGCAAATGCAACTCCACAAATTCCATAATAGAGCTCACTTTTCCGGGGACGCGAAGCGGATTTTTAAAGAAAACATACTACTCGCACGCCCGTCAGTAGCATCCACCGTCACGCCGGTTGCTGTTTGCTATAGCAGCCCGAGGGCAACCTATGGATTTTATCCACTGCAGCATGGAGGGGAGGTCGCCATCTGTTGTTTGTCTGATCCACCCATCGAATGCAGGTCAGTGCCTGTTCTCTAGTTAGTCCTTAACGGACAGGTAGATGTGATAGTCATGAGGACCATCGAGGATGCCTTTGAAGCAGTAAGGCAGTAGGGCAGTAAGGCCTACTTCCTGGCGCCTCAGCGGCTTATTCATCCGAAAAATTTGTACTGATAACTGATTGGTTTATTATGTGTTTCTTGACATGCTAGCCTAGAAATTTTTGTCAGCATGCACACACGTACGATATGAGATAGTTCAGTGGTTAGAGCGCGAATTTACTGACCGGAAGGTTCGTGGTTTCAACCCGACCTCTGTCTCTCGACTTCTCCGGTCTAGGCTTGGGCAACCTGACAGTATCCCAGCCCTCGTTCTTCCTTCTGGCTTGGCATGAAAGCTAGGCACCGAAAGGGTGCCACAGCTGAACAATTAAATTTAATTATTTTATTATAAAGCACGCACCTCAAACTCCTCGATATCGGTATTCATTTTACTGCGCTATCGTCCTATCCGTTAGGTTTGCTTTCTGTAGCAGAGGAGACTTCATAGTCACAGTCCTTTTGCAAAAAAAGGTGAAGGCAGGGCACGACATTTACGGAGAAAGCATATTAGTTTTACGTTTTAAGTGGGCTATGTGAATATAAAGATGTGTATTGGCGGGGAGCACGTTTTTGACAGAAGCGCGCAGTGACATCACCTGCTCACGACCGTCGTTCACCAGCCTATGACTGGATTGGCCGGGCTATCGGAAGCCCGCTTTCGCCTCATACCAACCTTCAGGAAGCCCAGTGGTTTGGTATTGTGCCTGTTCACGCAACTGCGTGTTTTCCGTAGTGGAAGAACTCCACACGTGAACAGCGCATTAGGATTGCGTACAATACAAGCTCTCTGAGCACCGTTTCCACCAACATCTGCAAAACTGATGTCTTTTGACCACCGGGTTGGGCAACTTAAGTTTGATTTGATCAATCGCTTAATTAGGCGCGGTCTGTTGTCACCATCAAAGAATGAAAAGTTTTAGCCCATGTGCCTACAGGTCGTTAGTGCTTGAGCGTGTCGGATGCAGGACCAATGATTCAAAGGTGGCGACAGCTGGTTTACAGCCTCCGACCGGGCACCGTTATTTTGAGGATAACGTTCAGTTTTTTCCCAGATAAGAGGGCCTGTTGCTTCCAGGCCGCTTGTGAATGTGAGGATTGTCTTTGACAGTGGTTCTTTTGGTTCTAGATGTAGATTTTGACTTGAATTAACTCACGTTGCTTACTCTAAATGGCGGTTAGTCCATTGCAAAGAGGTTTATTCTGGTCGATAAATAGCTTGTTCCCTCAATAGACTGTCCCTTACCGCCATATTAAGTGCTTCAAAGAAGCCATCTCTCGCGCTGTCGTCAATTTCCGGAGTTCGACGGTCCTTTATTGAGAAAAATTTTGCCGGACGACCGTTTTTGCGTGAATCTTTGTGTGGCTCTGTGCAAAACCCTCTTTTAACAGTCAGTGTTATCTCTGAGTGACCCTTCTCTCTTCCACCTAGGAGGCTGAACGGTTGCGTGAACGTGAAGCTGAACGTCTATGCATCGAAGTCGCCCATAAGGAAGCCCAAGAACAAGTGAAACGTTTGCAAACCGAGTGCGACACATTGAGGGGACAGGTATCGGAAATGGAACAGCTGAAAGCAAAATTGTCCGAACAGGAAGCCCACTTGTCAAAGTGAGTTCTTTTGACAAGTACACTTATTTGCAAGTCCATTTGGTCTCCACGGGAAACTCAACCGAATGCGTCGCACAAAGGCCACCTTGGTACGATATTCGAGGCATTAGGTAGATGTGATAGTCATGAGGACCATCGAGGATGCCTTTGAAGCAGTAAGGCAGTAGGGCAGTAAGGCCTACTTCCTGGCGCCTCAGCGGCTTATTCATCCGAAAAATTTGTACTGATAACTGATTGGTTTATTATGTGTTTCTTGACATGCTAGCCTAGAAATTTTTGTCAGCATGCACACACGTACGATATGAGATAGTTCAGTGGTTAGAGCGCGAATTTACTGACCGGAAGGTTCGTGGTTTCAACCCGACCTCTGTCTCTCGACTTCTCCGGTCTAGGCTTGGGCAACCTGACAGTATCCCAGCCCTCGTTCTTCCTTCTGGCTTGGCATGAAAGCTAGGCACCGAAAGGGTGCCACAGCTGAACAATTAAATTTAATTATTTTATTATAAAGCACGCACCTCAAACTCCTCGATATCGGTATTCATTTTACTGCGCTATCGTCCTATCCGTTAGGTTTGCTTTCTGTAGCAGAGGAGACTTCATAGTCACAGTCCTTTTGCAAAAAAAGGTGAAGGCAGGGCACGACATTTACGGAGAAAGCATATTAGTTTTACGTTTTAAGTGGGCTATGTGAATATAAAGATGTGTATTGGCGGGGAGCACGTTTTTGACAGAAGCGCGCAGTGACATCACCTGCTCACGACCGTCGTTCACCAGCCTATGACTGGATTGGCCGGGCTATCGGAAGCCCGCTTTCGCCTCATACCAACCTTCAGGAAGCCCAGTGGTTTGGTATTGTGCCTGTTCACGCAACTGCGTGTTTTCCGTAGTGGAAGAACTCCACACGTGAACAGCGCATTAGGATTGCGTACAATACAAGCTCTCTGAGCACCGTTTCCACCAACATCTGCAAAACTGATGTCTTTTGACCACCGGGTTGGGCAACTTAAGTTTGATTTGATCAATCGCTTAATTAGGCGCGGTCTGTTGTCACCATCAAAGAATGAAAAGTTTTAGCCCATGTGCCTACAGGTCGTTAGTGCTTGAGCGTGTCGGATGCAGGACCAATGATTCAAACAAAGGTGGCGACAGCTGGTTTACAGCCTCCGACCGGGCACCGTTATTTTGAGGATAACGTTCAGTTTTTTCCCAGATAAGAGGGCCTGTTGCTTCCAGGCCGCTTGTGAATGTGAGGATTGTCTTTGACAGTGGTTCTTTTGGTTCTAGATGTAGATTTTGACTTGAATTAACTCACGTTGCTTACTCTAAATGGCGGTTAGTCCATTGCAAAGAGGTTTATTCTGGTCGATAAATAGCTTGTTCCCTCAATAGACTGTCCCTTACCGCCATATTAAGTGCTTCAAAGAAGCCATCTCTCGCGCTGTCGTCAATTTCCGGAGTTCGACGGTCCTTTATTGAGAAAAATTTTGCCGGACGACCGTTTTTGCGTGAATCTTTGTGTGGCTCTGTGCAAAACCCTCTTTTAACAGTCAGTGTTATCTCTGAGTGACCCTTCTCTCTTCCACCTAGGAGGCTGAACGGTTGCGTGAACGTGAAGCTGAACGTCTATGCATCGAAGTCGCCCATAAGGAAGCCCAAGAACAAGTGAAACGTTTGCAAACCGAGTGCGACACATTGAGGGGACAGGTATCGGAAATGGAACAGCTGAAAGCAAAATTGTCCGAACAGGAAGCCCACTTGTCAAAGTGAGTTCTTTTGACAAGTACACTTATTTGCAAGTCCATTTGGTCTCCACGGGAAACTCAACCGAATGCGTCGCACAAAGGCCACCTTGGTACGATATTCGAGGCATTGCGGTATGTTTTCATAAAGCAAACTACTCCGAAGGTTGCTGAAAATCCATCGACAGCCCACGGGTGGTTTCACCCTTCTTGGGGCTCATCAGGTAGCCGCAGTTCCCGAGTTCCCGTCAATCTTATGTTCTACTTGAACCCAAATTGCACTGATTGCCACAGGTACACTGATTTGCGAATCAATTTAGTTTTCACGGGAGACGCAACTGAATCTCTGGTTCATGATATTCCAACCTGACGCTGATGGGTGTATTTGTGGAAATCTGTCCAATTCGGGTTCAAGGAGAACTTAGCGTTGACGGAAACCCGGGGACTGTGCCCTCCTAGTGAGCTCCAAGAAAACGAAGCCGGTCGCGGGCTGTCGAAGAGGTTTCGGTAACCTTGTGACTAGTTTCCTTTATAAGTTCTTTTGTTCGTCGTTGGTAGATAGGAGGGACTCTTCAGCGGGTGATAGTGTAAGCTGCTTAAGCTCTCCTCTCGCTACTGATCAAGCTGTTTTCAGTTTGATGCTGACTGGATCCTTTGGTTGCTAACTCTCCCCCCAGTAATATGACGGCGAATGTAAGGTTAGCAGGCTCTTGCAGGGACTATATTTGTGTCCCCCAAAGCAGCTCGCCCACGCGCGATCCGGTTTGGCGGGTTATAGAATTTGCAACTCGGTGGGCTGCTTGTTCATTGACCACCATAGGTCGATTGTGACATTTTTATGAGAAACGAAGCAAGTGATGATGAACACTTTGAAGTACCTGATGAGCTTGTTCAGTCAAAGACCAAATAATAGCTGTCTTCGTTACGGTCACATATACCTTTCCAGGCAATTGATCGAAATTTCAGGGTTGCGTGGCCACTACTTTATAATCTGCACACAACGACCAACTTTTTAGAGCGACTGTTCGTTGTCAGTCTGAAACGGGCCTTACTTTTCTATGGACAACATCTAGAGCAGAATGACTCAAAGCTCCTAGCTACACTGTTTCTTGTCTACAATTAAAGGCCGCGCTTATCTCACCAAAGAGTATCAGTTCAACTGCCGTCCGTCGTTCCTGTCGGCAGCCGTTGTAGAGGCATTCTACCGCATCCAAGAGAATTCAAAGTCGCCTTCCTTAAACGACACTTCTGTCGTCAAGACAACCTTTTCTCCCTCGTTTGTAAAATTAATTCCCAGAAAGGCTGTCGAGTAAACTTCCGGCTATCGGCTTTGAGCAGTTATGAGGATAGATGTTCGGACACTGCACAGCTAAAATAATTTATAACAAAGCAATCTTTCCGCGACTACTGGTGATATATATATATATATATTATATAGTATAACAACCACGACAATGCATTCAGACCCCAGAGTGAATTGATCGAGTTATCTTACATTTAGCACAGCATGAGTTCATCTGTCCACCGCAATTGCATTTGCGGTGTGAAACAGAAACTCCAAGAACACCATAAACGGGAGGCCCACCAGCTGGGTTCCTGGTGAGTCTCTTGTCAAGACCAAATTGGTATGCCAATGAGTGTATAGGTCAAACTCTAAGTCTCGTTGTGTATGTTTTCTCGACCAAAGCACGCATATGGGAATGTAAGTGTCGGCGGTGATGAAACCCAAGGTCACTTGTCAAAATAGCGGACTTAGGAGACATCCGCATCAAAAAGTCCATAATGCGAGACATTCGTCCGCCTAAAGATCTCAAGGACTTAGTATCATCAGTTGAAATTAATCATAGTAAAAATTGATCAGAAGAGGTTGTACCTGACATTCTCCATGTCCAGATGTGAGAATAACATCTTTCGGTCCGGGAGAATATTGTATTAGCCGGACGGCTAATATGGTATCCCAGGTTAGCCTACTTCGTACTTGGTTGGCAGATGCAATCTGGCCGCGGGATGCTTTCCTAACAAGTGTATATCTCCGAAAGACCATGGTCGTCGCGTTTTCCTAATGAAACCACAGAAATTCCTTCAACCTTTGTTTGTCCGAAGTGCCGTCCCTAGGAGGGCGATATACTTCAGGGGTGCAGATATCGGGACTAGGTCATCAGAGGGTTTATTCCTCACAACTGGTATTGTGATGTTTGACTCTAGTGTATGTTCATTTATCTAAATTTTCGGATAAATGTATCACTGTGTGCTCCACAGGCTAATTGCTGAGAACACACGATTGTCAGAACTGGAGGCAGAATTGGGAGCTATTAAACAACGCGAAGAACAGTTGTCGGAATTCACGCGTCGCCTGACCGAACGGAACGTAAATTTACAGGCCGAACATCTTCTGACGATAAGTCGCCTGGAAGAGTCCGAACAACACTTGGAGCAGTGTAAAACGGATGCTTTACAATCTGAAGCAGTCACTGCCGACAAACTGGCGGAGCATCAGCTTCAAATCGAGCAGCTACAGCTGGCACTGACCGACCTACGAGATCAAGTAAGTTTGGGTTGTGGTTGACCTTTAATTCGGTCAACAAGACTAACTATGGATTTCGTTTCATCGTTGCTACACGGCCTTCCGTGTCAGACACACGGGTGCTACGTCAAATCTATGCAGGTGAATTGTCCTTTCCCGGACAGTCTTGTCGTATATTATATCGCTTTTACTAAACCCACATGCAGTATGGGTGTCGGCGGCAACCTTACTTCAGAAGTTATGGTCTGCGCTTGTATACTTGGAGTTTGCTGGAGTATGGCCACTAAGGTTGAAATCGTCGCAATAAGTCAGGATGTCTTCCATATAACGGCACTTTGCTGATACACTGAACGGCTTTGATCACCTCGTGGAACACCGCACTCTTCATTTGCAGCCCGTTGCGCGAAAACGAATGCTGCTAGTCTGTTGGTTATCCGACCACACCCAAATAAACGAGAAATTGTGGGCGTTCCCCACAACTCTTGCTATTTGTCTGGAATTGTACTTGTATGTCGCGGTTATCATTCGGGGGCTAGATGGCCCAAGTGGTTAGAGCGCGAGTTTACTGACCGGAAGATCCGTGATTCGAACCCGACCTCTGCCTCTCCGCTTCCCCTGTCTAGGCTTGGGCGACCTGGCAGTATCCCAGCCCTCGTGCCTCATTCGTGTGGTATGAGAGCTAGGCACCGAAAGGGTGCTATAGCTGAACGACTTTTTTCTCAGCAGTCAGTCAAAAAGGTCTCTCTTGTGCTGGGCTGAGGCTCTATCCGTCAGATGGTTGAAACCCAACCTGTATGTTAAGAGAGAAGTGGCATTTTCCCGAGTCCCCATCCTAGTAGGCTACAGTGAACTAGGTGCTGTCATACCCCCCCCCACTCGGCTTCTTCTTCAGCGTTTGTTATACACATCCAGTACTCGTTCACCTGTTGTATAACTCCGTCACTTCGACTCCCTCAGCTTCACTCCTAATTCCATAGTTGGATGTCCTTGTGGCAGTTTCCTGTTTTGACTTTTTCCGTGCGTTTTTTGTGTTTTTATACTGTCATGACACACTAGGCGGCTGAATGCGATATTAACAAATGGAACAGGCTCTGCTAATTCCGCAATGATTTCGTTTGTTCTTGATGCTTGTCTCTAGTTTGCCAACGAGAAGCGATAGTCCGCAGCGATCGTCTTCAATTTAGACACTAGCCGATGATTGGGAAGAGGCACTGTCCAGCCGATGCCTGAGTAGATTTGACCGTTATCACAAACACCAATCTTGAAGCGGTGACTAAAGATATATTGGTGAGAAATATCAGTCGGTACACATCTGGATTTCTCGTATTCTCGGCAAACGAAGCTGTAGCAGCTGGAGCCACTGCATTTGGGTGAACGGTTCGTAGACTCAGGCGCCAGCTTATTGACTGGAAAGTCCGTGGTTCGAACGCACCCTCAGCATCTCGACTGCTCCTGTCTAGGCTTGGACCTCTTTCCACTGGAATGGCAGCTAGGCACCGAAAGGGTACTACAGCTGAACGATTATCTTTTTATCGAACGGCTTATGAGCTGAAAAGTTGAGCCAACTGAACTCCACGGTGCGACTGACTCCCCGAATATTGGTCAGCATTAAGTGACCTGTTTGTTATCCGGGTGCGCCACAGACGGTCTTTATCAACAGTTGCAGTTGATTGGAAGAGGAAACAGCGATCTGTAGCCAAAAAATCCAGTGGACGAATCGCGGCAAGTTTGTGGGCGAGGGAGGGTAATTGTCAACTTATTGTGCGCTCCAGCTATTCGCTACAATTTGTCAACGTTTGACTGATCATAGACCATCGTGTCCATTTTCAGGTGGGTTGTTTGAAATTTTATGGCATTCGGTTACCACTTTGTTCCTGGTCACTGAGAATATCTTTATATGTTGGGGTTTGAACATTTCTCACTCTGGTTATCCAACCATAGCGGTTTTATTTCCTGACCATGAAATGGTAGGATACAGGCTGCGTAACTTTGTTGTGTAAACGTTTTTTCCGAATTCAGCTTCAACAGTCCCGGGACCGCGAAAGTGAGCTACGTTCAGAATTGATGGTGGAACGAGAGCAGTCCGACTTGACGCACAAGCGTGACCTTGGACGAATACGGGACCTAACACGCCAGCTGGCACGTGTGGCGCAAAATCGATCCATGTCCCTCACGAGTGGCTTAAACCCGAATCGCACGGAGGATGCGAACATGATGGATTCGGAGACCGCGGATAACGAATCGGTGTGCAAGTTGAGCCTAGATTCACCCACTACTTCTTCACATTCGGTCGAGGTGGGTGCCAAATCAGACTGGCCGACTGTGGTGAGTTTTAGCTCTCTCTCCGATTGATCTGTTACCGTGATTATGCCCTTTTCCTTCCACATTGTTGATGGTGAGTCATCAGATCAGGTTAAGTGGTGATGTGCCCGGGTCTAATCATACGATTTTCAAAATCTGTGCCGAACATGTCAAGTAAGATTCCTCTTATATGTTTGTAATGTACTACTCAAAAGGTTGCTGAAAATCCGTTGACAGCCCACGACGCCCTTTTTGGGGCTCATCAGGCAGGCGCAGTCCCCGGGTCTCCGGGGAGGTGAGTCTCGAAAAACCAAATTAGTTTGCAAATGAGTGCATATTCGTAAGACTCATCTTATTTATGGACGACGCTTCGGGATGGCAGAAGTGGTCCCTCTAGATGAGGACAGAACTCTTTTCGGACTGATCATCTTTCTGCCTTTACGTGGTTTCAGTGCTCTACCGCTGGTTTTATCACAACTGTGTAAATATACTGTTCTTGCTGTGCACTGTTCACGTTCTCATGCGTCTCCTCTCAACAAGCTCCCATTTCGAGCGTTTGCTTGAATGGCATTCCGTTTGATCATCTTCAAGACGCTTTATTGATGTCATGGGAAACCAACCCGTTTGGGCCGTATCAGATGAGGGGACGCGGAACTTTTTTGCGGACTCATCCAACACAACACATATCCGAAACTTTGGCTATTATTTGACTGCAATGCGTAAGCATACGGAACGTCACTCCGCTTGATGTTTTGCTCTCTACAGATCTGATTCAGTGGTCATCGCAACTGCTGTGGCCTTTGTCATCCTTGTTTTGTTCTAGTCGATTGAATAGTAGGTACCAAACGGGACATATATTATAATTCTAATTGATAGCCCTACAGTGAAAAGAAGAGAAAAAGAGTGGGTGGGGGAGGGGACCTAGTGCTGACCTATGTCAAGCATTCTGAGGTGCCTNAACCGCTCAATCAGACAATCTGGAAAGAAACTGACGGCACGAATGCCACTGACATCGTTTGGCCGCCATTTCTTGCAACGTCTCCAGCCAAGTACAGACGCAGTCACTGGGACCCCATCCTGGAAGGCGTACAACACCAACAACACCCCAACTCTTCGTGATCTCTCTCACGCCTTTCTGCCAAGTCATGCGCTATCCACCTCACGGTTTGCGCCATCCGGAAGGAGGCACGGAGAACAACACTCGTCTCGGTAGACGGTGTTTTGGCATGCGTAGCACATGACTGAGCTATCGTGGTCGAAGATGCTGGATGTTTTCTCGGATTGAAGTACCTGCCACACCTCGTTACTAACGCACTGACACCATCCAAAACCAGCCACGCTTTTGAGGCATCGGTGGTCGAAAACCTGAGGACACCTCACATCACTGTTCGCAGAGGCCATGTCTGACATCGCCGCGTCCACATGTTTTAGGACAACTACACATTTCAAATTCAAGAAACGCACACATTTCTTCGAGTTGGCGACGACCGCTCGACCCCACCCCAAGGTCGTCACAAATAGAAGAGAAGCATGAGAGACCTTGTTTAATTTACTAGCCCTTTCTCGTGGAATACTGACAGTACATCGGTTTATTGGATGATATAACTGTTCGCGAGTTGTAGGTAACCTCATAATGGTCAAATTTGGTTTTGCCGGAGACTCACCAGAAAAACCCAGCTGAACCTCTCGTTTATTTTGTTTCTTGCCTGACTGTGACCTTCAGCTAAACAACGCATCGAAGTACTTCATATCAACTGATAAAAGTCTGTTCGGTTAGACCTGAGAGGTGTCCTTGTTGGTGTCGAATTATCCTGTGTCGCAGATGGGCTATCATTGAGAGTCTGTGCACTCGATTCTCGATCCGAATTCTCTTTTAGTTTTGTTCAGCTGTAACACCCTTGCGGTGCTTAGCTGCTGTGCCACCCGAAGGAAGCACAAGAGCTGGGATACTGCCAAGTTGCCCAAGCCTATACAGCAGAAGTGGAGAGAGACAATGGTCGCGTTCGAACTTCAGGCCTTTCGGTCTGTAAATTCGCGCTCTAACCACCTTAGCTTCATACGATTCAAAGCGCTTTAAAAGCCGCGCTTAGTCCACACTCACAATTGAACCACGTGTTTCACGATACTGCAACTTGCATGTGACACGCGACTCCGAAGCACTCGTCGTATACACCACCAGACGCTCATTGATCCTACGAGGTTCTATACACCTCATGGTATTTTATCCATGTGCTACCTCATTCAGTTGCGAGACATGGCAAACCCATCAGGAATGCCTTGCCTGCTTTAGTCCCAACCATTATNAGCAACTATGTCATAGTCTTAACGCGAACGCGCCGGTAGAAACTATCTTCATACGCCTAAATGTTTCCATTTTGTCTGAACTCCGAAGTTCAACACCTGCTATAGCCTCACTGATTTTATGTTTTTGTCGCTCTTCTCTTCCCGTTTTCCTCGGAATCTTGAAAAATGACTGTAATATCATAAAACGGCTTTTTGTGAGCGCCGGAAACATCCCATGTACCTGCTACATGTGTTCTAAATTACCGATTCAGGTATTCTCGAGGCAGTCTTTGTAAAGTTGTCCCATCTGTTGCATTCTGACATAACTTTTGGAAAAAAAACATTTCCCGACTTTTGGAAAAAAAAACATTGCCCGCGGGAACTTCTCTGCGCCTTGGTTACTTGACTTGTATGCAGGCCTCGAAGGCATGACTTCAAGCTGATTTTCCAAGTATTGGGCTTCCCAGTTTGTTTTTGTCTGTTTATCCACTTCGAAAACGGGTCTACCTTGTAAATTTACCGACTACAACGATTGGACATTCCCTGTCATACCTTGTCTAGCATACAGTCGTTGCATGAATGGGGCATGAGTGAATCCACTAAACCAGTACATGGAAGTGTTTTTTGGAACTATCACCACATCAACAATGTTTTAGTCGGTCTTTGGCAGTAGCCTCGTAGTTCTCGGTGGCTCAGTGGTCAAAGCGCGAGTTCACTGACCGGAAGGTCCGTGGTTCCAACCCGACCTCTGTCTCTCGACTTCCCCTGTCTAGGCTTGGGCAACCTGGCAGTATCCCAGTCCTCGTGCTTCCGTCGGGTGGCATAGCAGCTAGGCAAGGGATTACTTACGCATAGTGCCAATGAACTACGGGGAAAAACAGCACTTTTTATTCCTCTTCTTATAGTTTTCCACCTGACCTAGTCCACATGTTCACATCACCTCTATCCTTCGTTTTTCGTCCAAAGAACAAACCAATCGTCTGCTTGGGGAACACTCTGATGATATCCGGTGAGGAGAAAACATACAAAGAACCTAGCGAACAGTCGGAGCTTCATTTCGACGAGCCGGAGCGTGCCGCTTGGATAGCAAAGATTGATCGATTGCAGCGGATTCAGCTACGCCTGACTGACAAGATGGAGTTTCTTCAAGAACATTGCTTTCAGCTGACTGAGGAATTGAACAAAAAGAGCCGAATAATTCAAGTAGGTTGCATGTGGATTGTTTCTTTTCGCAAACCGAGGGACCGTCAAGTAACTGTCGAACATTCAGCTATTTAGCGAGAATCTGTTCGTTCAAGGACTAGCTAGAACGCTCCCCAGAATCCGCGTTTGGGTGTGGGTAAATACGGAAGAAACTAAATTCCAATTTCCATGGAGGTACTTTAACTATAGTGAGTTTGCGATTAAATAGAACCAACCCGACGCCATATCTACTGTGAATGCGAATAAGGAATCTTTGACCGAATTTGTTTGCCGACCCTTCATTGCCGGTGTACTGCGTCTTGTAACTCCTGGACTTCTTTTCCCGCCCACTCTAGTAATTCAAAGGCGCAGTAGCTTGAGGCGAAGATAAACTATTAGAAATTTATATATAGATTTAATAAAAAAAATCACAAACTACGGTTAAAATCCTTGTGGCTGAAAACCCTCGATTTTGATTGGCCTACATCCTGACCAATCAGTGCGTGCCCTCGTTTTGGTACGTGGCCGGTGCGCGACAGACCTGTCCGACTGACTCAGCGTTCTCTCACTTCGAGTTGCTGCTTTCAGGATAGTGTCAATTTTTTAGTGTGATCCAGAATTTACGTATTTACCCATTCAAGCAATGGAAATCGATCCACCGACCCCATGAATTCTAGAGTGTGCCCCATTAGTGAAGTTGAGTGAGGGAGGGTAATTTTCCTCTAACTAGCTAGACAGCTGTTGAAGATATTCCGCTGTGTTAGCCCACAACGATTGTTTTCAACGGCTCCGTTTTTCTAAGATGTTATCTGCTTACTTTACCCAGTGATAGGCGAGGCCACCTCCCCTCAGTGGAGGGCGGTCGGTAATGCTCAAACGAGTGGCAACATATCATAACAGCCAAGGAGCAGTGATGCGTGAGCTAGTATGTATGTTTTACTGAGAACCTTTTCTAGTACTAATGGTGAACGTAGTGTTACCTCTGTGTAGTCCGCATCAGGAATACTGGCGGTACCCCATTATCGCATTCATCATCATCATCATTGTCAGCTGTAAGAACCGCATACTTGTCTTATAATGGTTGTAATTGCCACAGTTGCGTTCACCGATGATTTCGGGAGGTGGGGTAGAAAGCTGCGCATTGGAGGCGGGAGCTGATACATTGGTATGTAAATACAGGACTGTTAATTGGAGGGATTGGGAAGGCAATAGCTTGGATGCATGAGCGCCATTGAGGGCGCGAATGGGCCATGTCTGACAATGTCTCTAACCATTGATATGGCCCGTCTCGGGGTCCCCATCCAGGAAGACGGCAATTATCAGCGCAGCTGAGTTTGCTGGTAATGGCTTTCACACTTCGCTGCCAAGTCATTGTTTGACCACCTCTGGCTCTCTTCCACCCTTCACATGGCTGTGCGAAAAGAGCCCTTCAAGGAAGTCAGTCTTCTGGCATACACAGCCCGTGGTCATCCCAGCGCAGCCTATGCAGTGTGATCAGTTTATTTATCGAGGGTGAGTCATTTCCCCCGAATACCATTCGACGTCCTTCAGCATTGCTGATCCGATGTTCCCACCAGATTCGGGCAATGCTTCGAAGACGTCGACGGTCAAACACTGAAAGTCTTTTGACGTCCTCGGCGCGCAGCGGCCAGGTTTCTGATCCCATCATCACCAATCTTACCTCAGGTATATGACACGCAGCTAATCTTTCTGAAGGAGACGCCAAGCATAACAAGCTCAACAGAGGTGATGTTCGGCGAAAGCTTGAAGCAACATATTTTCAGCTGATAACCAGCGCGTAGCAATTCAAATGCTGAATAACGGAACGTTCACAAAGGTGTAATCAGCTGGTCCATCAAGGTGAAGTGAACTTTATTTAAAATCATTCGGCGTGCCTCTGTATTATTGATCTTTTGCTCCCACCACACCCGCGCGATTCTTCAGAGGAACCGATGGTAAACCAGGGAGAACATTCTAAGGTCCTCCATAAAGTAGGTCAGATCGAAGCGTGGCATTTTGCACTCTACTCTTGACGGTCCAAATGATGCCACAGGTGTTGGACGTCAGGAAACGCTACCTCAGCCTTCTCACTTCGGGAAGTGGTCTCGTCTTTCGCCGGAACTTATGCTGACGCGAGCACGGGGATTCGGGTCTCCGTCCACTCTTGCAACAGCAATGTACAGTTTATGGGTACGAAGCGCAGATAACCGCGGCTTCCACACAGCCCTTTATTTGAAACTGTCCAGCTTCAACCAGGACAAAAACCATCTTGAAGTACCGAACTCGTACACATTCATTGCCATCGTTCTTCATTGTTATACCTCAAGTCAGAAATAAACAGTTTCTCTGTTGAAAGGTTGTACCGTTGCGGTTATCCCAAAGCTACTCAGGCAGCTCTATTGACGCAAGGCGTTCTTTTTGTGTACACAATCCTGGTTTATGTCTTAATTTAGGGAAAAATGGAAGTCATATCACTCATTGTGGATGTTCAGTTTGGATAGAGTTGTTGTCAGTTGGAAACTATCCCCTACATTCGTTTCCGATAGCTTACGAGCAGTTTAGAAATGTGTACACCGCAGCGAGTTTGCCGCAGATAGAGTAGGTCGAAAGTAGACATTCCATTTACCTTATGTGAGGAGTCCAAAAGGTTTAGGGTGATGTGCACCGATCGGTTTGAAAGCTGTGTTGATCTCCGTTTTGTCCATTTTAAAATCCTGTCGCGTTGCCTTCATATACCATAATGAACCTCAGCTCGCTATAGTGCTCCGTCAGCGGCGTGGTTTGCGAAACACATTCTGCTCTCTGCCACATTTTAGCGGTTCTAGATTCGCAATCATCACTCTGTCACCTTCACGACCTGCTTTACCGACGCCACGCTGTTCTGGCCAGTGTGCACTTCTTTTGCGCTTGACTCCCTGTCCTCTGTTAGACCAGCATGTTGTCGCTGCGTATTGAATCTGTACAGCTCTTGTTGGTAGTGTGAGGAGGTTTGGGATTTTTGTGGGGATTTCGTCCTGTAAGTGAAGCCAATCTATGATGAAAAGCCGAGAAGCCACTTGTGACCGAACGGCTAAGTGTACAAACAAATAGCCCGGAGGTTGCGGGTTCGAGACTCTTCGGAGTTTCGTGAGATGCGCACTGCTGATCATTCCCAATAAGGATGAAACAGCTGTGCAGTGCTTGTCGGCTTTTCAGCATAGATTGGCTTCACTTACAGGACGAAACCTGTACAGCTCTATAAACTGGCCTGCAATCTCATGCTGTTCTTGTGTGTTAGTGTTTTTGAAACTGGCTCGCTTAATGTTGCTCGCACTGTCAGTTTGACCGAGTAATGTTGGTCAACTTGGTCGCCTTGTTTGTGTGTTCTGTTCTGTCGACAGTCAGAACCACAGCAACGATAACGTGTTAGATCGGGCGGAAACGAGAAAGACGACTCACCGGACGTACCAGTACCGATTACACTCTCACTGTCATTGCAGGAAGCCGTGTCCAGTGACGCGCACCAAATGGACGACAGTTAAAGTAGAGGCTAGACGAACTAGACTTGTGCACACATTCACTGTTGGACGGACGTTTGCTATGCAACCTCTTTTGTGCCATCTCGAGTTTAGTCTTCGAATCGGCACGCCGCTTTGGTATTCATGCATAGTTCATCCTGTAACTCCCTTGACCATGTTGTTTTCGTACATTCCCCGTTAGTCGTTTGTCCTGGCACAGAAACATTTCGGATCTGCTGCTCCCAACTCGGTGGATGCCAACCGAGCCCGGATCGCTCAAACCGGTGGTCTGATGGCTTCTCTGTACGGTGGAAAGCATTCCAAAGATGCTTATGATCGCGATACATATTTGGAAATCTGTCAAAAACTTCAGGCCGTTCTGGAAGATACGTTGTTCAAGAATATTACTCTTAAGGTACTGTGCGCTTCCATTCTGGGTTCATAATTTTTATCAGTTTGATACCATGGAGCGTTGTCTCATAACTATGCTGTGCTTTTGTTCAGTCACCTCTAAGTGGCACTGGTTTCGATCCTCTCTGAGTTTCCATATCCTTATTTCCAATACCAGGAATCCCTTAAAATTGATTATCAGGGGTTCCTTTGACAAATAATTACTACAGTGGACTTACTTCGGGCAACAGTCGGACGCCTTTATTCACCTACCGTGTCTCCCTAGAGCATGCCCTAAGCATCAGCCAAAACAAAAAGCAAATTGAGGACATCATAAACCAGAGTTTCAATTGAGCCTGCCGTGAAAACAAAATTGATTTGCAAATGAGTGTATTTCTCCAAAACAGTGCAATTTGGGTTCAACTAGATCGTAAGGTTAATGGAAACTGGGGGACTGCGCCTGCCTGATGAGTCCCGAAAAGGACGAAACCGGTCGTGGGCTAAGGAGTTTTCAGTAACCTCGTAAGTAGTTTCCTTTATGCAAATAATCGTCGTGTTTTTGCGAGCACTTCCCGTTGCTGCTGTTGGACTTTGTTGTTGGGACTCGATGAATTGCCTTTCTTTTGAAGTCTCATGTTGGGACTCGTGTCAGCAAAGATCCGTCTCTTGGAACAACGTATGCGGTTTGTCAAGACGGTATTGACTTATAGGAGAATGAATGAATTTATCCGGTCTGCGCTGTAGATCCTTTTTGTGTTCCGGTGTGCAGCCTTCTCCAGAGGGAAAAAGGTGGTGCTGTAATCACGCTTCCATTCAATCACTTCCTCCTCCCCCCAAACGTATATCCTGGAAGTTATGTTGGGTGTTCAGTTGTTCAGTGTGACTGATCATACGGTCCGTAGGCGATAGTCCTGTGGCTTGAAGTAGGATTCGGCCACGTCGAGACAGATATATTGGCGGTCTGTATAAAAGTGAATCAGCATTTCTTGCGATATGTCTTAAGCGCAATTCCACGCGGATACCCCTTTACAGCTCGTATTTAGGCACTGCGCCAGCCGAGAAGCCTGTCCCGCACAAGATTAGCCAAAAGTTCGGGACGCTTGCCGGTCAGGCATCAAGCAGCGATCTGATTGGTCGAAAGTCCGGACCCAACAGCCAATCATGACCCAGTATTAGCCGAAGGCTCGTTACTGATGGCCTGTCCAGAATGCGTCAGAATTTCTAGACGGTTGTTGCTACTTACATATATATACGACGCGCTGTACAGGCTATCAACCTTTGGTGGTTGTTCTGACAGGAAGGCTAGCTTGGGAGATTCAGACCGAGAACTAAGCTGGGGAAGATATCGTTATTACAATTTGGCGACGAGAATTGACGGTCAATAACAAATGCTTATAGCTTCTCG